CACTCTTAGCTGGGCGGTCGCGCCAGGCCCGTCGGAAGAGCCAGTTTGGCGTCGTGGGGACTCTATTCTGGGGATCCGGGTTTGATGCCCCACTCCTCCTCCAGTCGCAGCTGCTGATGTGACCTTGGGTCAGTCACAAGCTCTGGCACAGCTGTCCTTGGAAAAGAGCCGTTCCTGTCAAGCACTCTCTCAGCCCCCCACCTGCCTCCCAGGGTGTCTGTCTGTGGTGGGGAGGGGAAGGGAGAGGAGTTTGTCAGCCACTCTGAGACTCCCTTGGGTAGTGAAGGGCCATGGGGTAGAAATCCAATCTCCTCTTCTTCTCCTCCTTCTCCTGCTGCGGAGAGACCGTGGCAGTGCCCGTGCCGGCTGCTCTGCTCGCTGGCTTCCTTCCTTTCTCCCCGGCCTCCTCCGCCCCTCCCCCTGGTCCTCACAACAGCCCCCGAGGTGGGCGGCTAGGGTAGGCCGAGCGAGCAGGACTTGGCCCAAGGAGGCCCGCTTCCTCCGGAGAGCCAGGAGTGGGTCGCAGGCCTCCCGGGTGGATCCTGCCCTGGTGCCCGTCCTCTGCCACAGCTGGCGCCAGCTGCTTCCTGCCACTGCCCCCCCCCCGCCTGTGGCCCCCAAACCCAGCAGCCATGGCCTTCTTCTGTGTGTGTGTTTTGGGGTCCCGGGGAGAGCCGGGTGAGGGCTGGCAGGGACCCAGCAGGGTCCTCTTTGGCCTCCGGCCTGTTTCTCTGCTTGGCTGTTGGGTGCCTTTCCGGCCGGCCAGGCCTGCCTGCCTGGTCCCCCTGCTAACGGAGGAGGGCCTCTTGGCAGGGGCTCCTCCAGGCTGTTGCTTCACTAGATACCGGTGGCAGCAGCGGTGGCAGGGTGAGCGAGGCCAGGGAGCGGGAGACGGAAGTGTGGATTCATTCGGCAGAATTGAGTCATCTGGCAAATGTGCCGCTCCCTGTTGGGGGGGGGGGGAGAGAGAGAGGGGGGTGTCCTAGAGTTCCTCTGCAGGGGAGCTCCTTGGTTTTGGGAGGGCGCTCTCGGGGTGGCGGTGGCGTCACAGGCAGCACCCATATCCCACCCACAGGAGGCCTCCCTCCACTCCACTCCGCCTGCAACCGCCTTCCTCAGCCGCTCCGCTGGGCCCGGTGGTTCCCCACACATTCCTGTCGCTGCGGGCTCTGCCACTGAACGCCTGATCTCCGGCCTCCCCTCCTTCGCCCGCCGCTTTCTCCCTCCCCGAGCGCCCGAGTTGTCCCTGCGGTGCCCTGGGCGGCTGCCCTGTGGTGCCCGGCTCTCTCAGTCTGGCGGGGGGGGGGTCCCGCCTGGCCACTCGGAGCACAGCCACCCGGCCCATCCCAGAGGTTGTTCCTGCGGGCCAAGCCTTTGGGCCCGCCGGCCCAGCCCTTTCTGGAAACACCGGTTCCTGTGGCGTGCCGTAACGGTTGGCCTTTGGACGGGCTGTGCCCAGGGGCACACCGTGGTTTTCCCTGGGCGGAGTTGCCTTCTGGATGCCTCTTGGCTCTTGTTGGGCCTCCTCCACCGCCTTGCTTCACGTGGCTGGCCGTGTGGGGCTCCGGCCAAGGGAGGCACCCGCGAGGAGGACCTGAGCCCTGCAGCCCTCAGTGTGGGAGGAAGCAGAGCTCTCTCTGCCCCCTGGGCCTGCCTGGCCAAGAGGACCTGGAGGGGGCGGGGGGCCAGGCACGGGGTGGGGTGGGGGCGGCAGGAGTCTTGCTGTGGCTTCAGTCTCCGGGGCTTTTCTGCAGCCCCACTGGCCTGCTTCCTCCGTAAGTGACCCGCGGCTCCTCTCCTCCCTCCCCAGGCCTGACCTACGTCTCCGAGTACTTCTCCCAGAGTGCCCAGCGGCTCTCCTTCTACAGCTGGTATGGCAACGCCAAACTCTTCCGCTTCCGCATCCCGGAGGACACCGTCCTGCTGCGCTGGCTCCTGCAGGCCTCCCGGGGGAGCGGCCCCGAGTGCGGAAGGACCCAGGTTACCATGTACGTGGCCCCCCCCCCTTCAGCAACCAAACATTAAAATCAACTTTAATATGCTCTGGGAGGAAGCCTCCGGTCGGCCGGCTCCTGGCTGGGCCGGGTGTTCCAGGCCCTGGGGGACTCTGGCCAGCAGCCAGCCAGCCAGCCAGCCAGCCACCTCCTCCTCCTCTTCTCTTGCAGCCACTTCCGTTACGGGGCCCCGCCCGTCATCAACCCTCTGGGCACGCGGTTCCCGGCCAACATGAGCCTGCCGGGCTCCTACAGCCAGACCTTGCCCCTGGCGGGCGCTCTGCAGAACGCCACCTTCCTCAACCTCACCAGCCCCGCGGCGGGGGACTGGTTTGTCCTGGCGCACCTGCCGGAGGCCACGGGCAGGATCGAGGTCAAGGTGAGGGGGGCGGCGGGGG